GTTAACAATTTGAGCACTTTTCTGTGGAAGTCTGTAAACAATATTTGCAAGAAAAGTCTTTATATATGCTCAGTTTCTACAGTGACCGCCAAAAAGTTTGCAACAAATGGGAAAATATTTTATTATTAAGATATCAAAGAGAATTTTACGTGGGATCGATTCAGCATACTCATCAACAAAGAAAGCACTGTGACAGATGTCATGTGACCACAGTTATGGCGGGAAATTTAAAAAGTTTGCCTTAAATATGTAAAAAGTGGGGTTAGATGACCAGAAATCGAAAAATTGTAGAGAGAAAAGTGGTTCAGGATTCGATTTTACGTCTATGTGTGAATTTTTAAGAAGGTACGCGGATTTTTAATAAATATCAATTTTTTGGCCTGTTTTCTGGTAATTTGAAAAATATCAAAAACTTTTCGCTTGGTTCACATAATTCAAAGTAAAACTAACAAAAAAAAAATCCAGTGCAGTCATTCTGCTTTATTGTCCCGCGGAAAATTGTAAAAACCCAAAAATTCATTTTCAGACCACTCTGATCTTGTTGCAATGACCTACAGAAAGCAAAAATTTGAAATAACAAATTTGGAATTATCATAAAATCTTTCTAATCCAATACCTCTTTTCTAAATTCAGTTAAACCAATATTTTTCCGAAAAGTTTTTAATATTCTCCAAATTACCAGAAAACAGACCAAAAAATTGATATGTATTAAAAATCCTTGTACCCTTTCAAAAATTGACAAATAGACGTAAAATCGAATTCTGAACCACTTTTCTCTTTACAATTTTTCGATTTCTGGTCATCTAACCCCACTTTTTACATATTTGAGGCGAACTTTTTAAATTTCCCGCCATAGCTGTGGTCACATGACATCTGTCACAGTGCTTTTTTTTGTTGATAGGTATGCTGAATTGATCCCACGTAACATTCTTTTTGATATTTTAATAATAAAATATTTTCCCATTTGTTGCAAACTTTTTGGCGGTCACTGTATATACAAATGTACAAATGTTAATTTCACGAGTGTGAAACCAAATTTCTGCATTAAACGTTAGAAAACACTTCAAATTATAGTGCATTTCAAGCGAATCACTAATCAGTATTTATTGTTCGACTGTTAGAGAAACTGTAACAGTCTTACTTGCTTAATCCGGTTCATGCAGATAAATCCACAAGGCGATTATTTAGCCATTTATCACTATTCACACTGGCAGCCAGGGAATTTTCCGCTGAGATGAAAACACAACGATATAAAGTCCGTCGATTTTAATCTGATACTCGGAAGGAATGTGAGCTGGTGGCACCGTACATTAGAACGCCAATGCTTACCTGACGTCACACCTGTTTTTGCCATATACTTCACCCCCTCGCTCCTCATACGGAAAGTATCAGATAAAAATCGATGAACAATACATATGCAGGCGCGTTGGAGCCCGGCGAGAGTGTGAGAGAGAGAGCCAAAAACAGGCGCTTACGAGAGAATTTTGCTCATCCGAGGTGACTTGCAATAATTAGGGATTAATTACATGAATTGTAATCAATAATATAGACCATGTCAGGCCTTGAGACACAGAGAGTAGTATTTTTGACTATAAATCGCGCGTACTAACGGGGGTTTTGGGAGTTTTGCTTCTGGGGAGCATCAGAGGGCGCGAACTCTTCGATTATTCTAATAGTACTGAAGAATGTGCGTCGACTAGCTCTGCCAGGGAGCAGGTCGCAAAAACTAGGAAACAATGTGGCGGCTGACCAATCACAGCGGCGAGAAAGGTCCACTACCTTATAAGGTAATGAAGAAACCTGCAATTTTATTGGTTCAAAGGGTTGTTGTTGCCGCTTTTATAGGATAAATAGTTCAGCAATAGCATCTTTTTTTAGTATATTATTTTTAATCGTAAATAATAGAGGAGAAACTTATATTTAATTAGAAATAATAAAAATTAAACCTGTTGTGGGTTATTTCCGCAACAAAGTTTAAATCTCCTACTAGCAGGGCCCTAATTCTCGAAACTGGGGAGCAGCGTTCTCATGAGAACGAAGGTTCCATATTAGTCGCCCATATTTATATTTCCATAACACTGACAAAGACAGAGCAATCGTTCTCGTGAGAACGCTATTCCCCGGTTTCGAGAATAGACAGCCAGGCGCTTTGTATTTCTATTTTCCGTTATTTTGTCAAGTGAATCAAAAAAGGTGGTACTGTTACTCGAGGGTGGTCTATATAGGGCACATATGGAACATTTTATGGTCTTCAAGTAAATTTCAACAACATTCACTCTCGTTCGATTCTGTTTTCCACTGTATAGAGTCCGCGTCAGCAGTAAAGAGTACGGTGACGACACGGAAAGCTGCGCGAAGCGGGTCGGATCTCTCTCCCTCGTCTATCTCTCGCTGTCTGCGGTGACCTCGGCCGTGAGCTGAAACCAGCAGCGGGGTATCTTTTTAGACAAAACTTGGATAGAAAATAAACTAAATAAATATGCCTGCTGGCCGTACGACAATGAACCACGTGCTTGGCGTTCGGCAGCAGCACCGCACCGAACAATACGATAGTTCGGTTAATCTTCAAAATTGGGTTTGTGCGCATTTGACGTCACCGTACTCTTTCTTGACGCGGACTCTACTCCAAATTATTTTTATTGTACATGCTTACGCCTCCTCCTCTTTGTAGCTCTACAGTTATGAATAATTGATGCATATTCGGGTAAGTTAAAATTGTCTATTTCTTCATGATAAAACCATGTTTCGGTAAGTATGACAATGTGGATACTTTCAGTTTTGTTTCGTATTATGTCTTTTAGATCTTCAAATTTGTTGCGCAGACTTCTAATGTTGATGTAACAGTATGTTGAGTTTTATAAGTGAAAAGATGATTATTTTACTTAGTTTTAGGCCAGAATTTTACTTGCTCCTAGCACAGCAACAACAAATCCGTATCACTTTTTATCCTAGCTGGAGGGTCATCTTCAGTTTTTTTAACAAAAATCTTGCCATTCTTTATAAAGGCTGCATTGATATTTTTATTTTTTTTCAAGTCTCTGGCTCTCCTAAATAAATCTTCAAATTGTCATTGAAAAATATGTTTTTACCAGGGCCCTTCAGCCCACATTCATTAAATTTAGGTCATTTTGTTTGTTTGATTTTCTTGTAGATTTTTAATTTTTAGGTTTGCTTCATAGCTTTTAAGTTTAATTAATATAGAAGCAGCCTCTTTATTTGAGATAGGATAGGTTTCTTTGATGATCACTTTCAGTGATTTCAACTATCAGTGCTTTAATTACTTCATTGATCACCTGTTCTGTTTCTTCGGCCTACTTGGGTATACCAACAACTATCACATTATTTTCCTGATCTTTCTGCTCACGGGCGTTCTGTTTACCTTCGAGGACTTCGACTTTAATCTTCAAACTGTGATTTTCATCCTTCAGTTTCTTCATTTCGCTAAACAGCAAAACTGGCAGATTTTTGATCCTCGAAGCTATCCGACACAAACTAGATGGATTTCTTGATTTCCCCCATTTCTTCGTGTAGGGTTTCCTTCAGAGGATTTAGATACTCATTAAACACTTCCCGCATTAGTTCTTCAATCCTCTTTTCTTCCATTTCATGAAATTAGATGTTTTTTTCACAACTAACCTCACTTTTGGTGTTTGTTTTGCAACAGTTCACTTTGTTTTCCTTATTCGTAACTCTTGCCTGTGCCGCACAGCTGGGGTGGTAGTTAGATCCACAGGTTACACAATCAAGAGAAGAATGTACGGTTTTTTTGCAATGTTTGCACTTTTTTTTCTGTATTTCGTCGCCTATATTTTTATTTACTCCCGCCATCACCTAACCTCAAGAAATTATTCTGCTGTTTTGCTATGGCCATCATAATTTCAGTTTACAATTTTTGTTGTTGGAACTATTTTGAAACAGGAGATCCCATATCTTGTTAATTATTCCATGAACCCTTTGGTCTTTCGGTGTTTATCGATTCAAAGAGGAAATTTCTTTCACGTAGCGTGATACATAACGGCGAAACGCTCCGTCTGTCGGCCGGTCCGTTACGCAACACTAGATTTTCAAAGTAATTATTTCATTTTCGGGAACGGGGCCGCGTTTGCACGTATTAAAACCGATGCTTTTATTACTGCGTGTCTAATGTTTACGACTTCTGAGGAATAAGGCGTATACGTACACTGGCAAATAATAATTATTTTTCACTGGTGTTAACCAACGTTTATAATTATTATTTTTATGCTTATTTGCTTAAACTCTGGCGGGGTGATTTATTTTTATAATTAATAACTGGACACCTATTGTATATAGGTGCGTTTTTGCTCGAGATCAATATTGTAGACTACCGTATTGCCTCTCTGACCTAATTCTCAAATTACTGCCAAAACTTTTAATTCATTAGAATTTCAACTTCAGTATGCACTCTTCAGTTGTTGAACTTGGAACTAAAGAAAAAAATTTATAAGTCGAGCTCGTATAGATACTTTAATTATTGATGAAAAGATTAATGAAGCCTAAAAACAAGGTTCAGTAGAAAGAAATTTCTGGAGAAAGTTGTTCTTAGTTAAAAAATAGATCTAGTAACGGAACTTTGTCGTTAGGCTAATTTGAATGCAGAACTTGAACATTCTATGATAGAAGACGTCTCTAGAGTTGAACTTTATAGGTGGGGTAAGTATGGCATTCTTCAGTACTTGAGTTAAGTTGTATATGATTCAGTTGTTGAAGATCTTGAAGACCTTATGAAGGTGAAGAAGAATATTTTTAACTTGAGTACTTAAGCTTGTAGTAATCGGAAGGCTTGGCTTGTGAAAAGCTCATAGTATTATATGAAAAACTTCATGGGAAAACGGCTGAGGAATCTTTAACTACTCAGTTAGATGTCGAACTTCAACTTTTTGTTATAAAAGAACACGGAAATTTAAATTTGCCACCATTTTCTTTTTTTTTTTTTATTGGACAAATTGGTTTTTCAAATGTCAAAAAGTGACAACTCCTGTTAAATTTTATTACATTGCCGTGGCCTAAAAAAACCACTAATAATGGGTAAAGGATTCAATAATTTCATGTGCAAAAAGTTCTTCCATCCCTCCTCAAGAGATAACCTAAAGCGTGTCTGGATGGCCGAACAAAAAGCGGAATCGTACAAGAAAAAACAAGAAGAACTCAAGCAACAATACGAAAAAGAACAAAATCTTCACGACAATAAAACTATCTTGAATAAAGAAAATAAGGACAAACTGGCTGTAAGCTTCATGTACGAGCCTCCACCAGGAACCCGTAAGGAAACCCAAAAAGAACCGGAATACAAATTCGAATGGCAACGAAAATACAACGCTCCAAGAGAAAGTTACTGCATCGGAGATCAAGAAATCAGAGATCAACCGTTCGGAATCCAAGTGCGAAACGTCAGGTGTGTAAAGTGCCATAAATGGGGTCACATTAATACAGACAAAGAGTGTCCTATGTACAACTTATCGATGTCTACAGCGAGATCGTTTGAAAAAGATAGACAAGATTTGGTGGACCGCATGCTTGAGGATGGTCTGGCTTTGAAGAAACGATACGTGAACACTGTGGAAGCCGATTTATTTGTCCATGAAAATGAAGAACACAATTTTTTGAAAACTCTGACGAGGAAGCAGAAGAAGGCTTTGTTGAAGAAGTTGGAGAAAATTGAAAAGCGAGAACGAGCTGAGAAGAATAAAAAGAAGAAACGTAGTAGGAGTATGACAGAGAGTGATGGCAAGAAGTATAAAACAAGGGCTGCAAGAAGTGATCATAAGCAACATTCTACAAGAGAAAAACATCGCCAAGTGAATTGTGATAGTGAAAAATACCATATGAAAAAAGTTAGACATTAGAAAGTATTGTTTATTCATATTAGCTTAGTTTGGAACCTGTTTCTCTTATTTTATGAAATATAGTTAATTTTCCTACTGTGACATGCTGCAACTTTTTTATTGAAAAAATTGTAACTGTGAGTTTAAAAGGATGTGACAATTTGATTACAGTTATCTATATCCAAATGAGACTTAATGTGGAAAAGTTAAACAAAAGCAAGAAGCTTAAGTACATGTAATTTTAATATCTACAAATTTTCTGGATACTAAAAATATAGAAGTTGTAAATTCGTTAAACAGCTGCTGATGCTTGAAAAAACTGCAATAAAGTATCGAAAATGAAAGCTAAGAAATAAATTACGCCAGCTTGAGTTTTCGTGCAAACAAAGCTTACAAGCATTTTAACTTTTGTTTCAAATACTTCACATCTGCTTTCACAGTTATTAAGGCAAACATCGCCTTCTCCGGCTAAGGGTCGCTCAAATCGTAAATATGTTTACGTTTTTGGTCTTTTTAACTATTTCATGCATCAATTGAACTTTACACTTAAATTAGTTAAACACCGTTAAAATTAGAACATTAAATTAAACCATAGCAGTTGAAAATCAAGAAGAAATTCCACGCTCGTTCTTTTAACGTCCAGGTACTTTTTTGTTAACTTTTTACGACATAAATTACGGTTTGCCAGATCAAAGCCTGGCCTGTCATTTGTTTTTGTTTGCGGTGTCGAGCGTTGAATAAACGAGTTCCACGACATCCGACATTGTCAACACGTGTTAGATCATGCATCAAGACTGGGATAATTTTTTGCCAGTGTTGGCAAGTGTTGTATTTATTCTTTTTCTAGAGCTACAATGTAGATAATCCACTTATAGTAGAAGATCTTGTCTAACTTTTTTCACTCAAACTTTTCTCCAAGTTTAGTTTTAGCTTTCAGAACTTAATGATCACTTGTCTGTAGTGAATTTGTTAACAACTGAGACATTCTTCCAGATGACTCAGTCTCACTTAGCAAGTCATTTTAAGCTTTCTGCTTTCTTGGAAAAACTGTAATCAGCATACAAATGTTATTGTTCCAGTCAACCATCATAGACTCAGTCCTTCCATCATTATGCCTTCATGCCATTCAATGTTTTCATAACTTCCTCTGTTCGTAGTTATTCTTGGAACATATTTTGATGACTGGATTTGTTTTAATTCTACTCATAAGATTAATTGAATTTCCCTACTTGTTTAATATTAATATCGCATTATTAAGTATAAAATTTTCCATTTGTGAATCTGGCAACATACGACACTACATACACTGGCTTGAGGCAAATAGACTTGTAAAGAAAATTTACGACCTTTAATTTCTTTTAATTAGTTTACATGTGGTCATGTCGCTACTTGAAAGGACTTTAATAAATTATTCCGCTCCGCTTAGACTGGTTATTACGCATGTGCTTCGAAGGTTTTTAATTAAAATGTTGTAAATTGGGTAACCTATTTTTAAGCACCGTTCTACTAATGGGGTTTGAAGGCGACTACTAGCACACACACATGTTTTCGCATTAAATATGCAATCGTAAATCTCGATTTTATCTTGCCGAAATTTGTTTTACATGATTTTTAGTAATTTTCGCTGTGATTAATAGGAAATTAATCGACATTCTGCTTCTCCGTTTTTTACGTTTTTGTGAATTCGACACATGAAATTATATTGAGCGTATTGCTGCAGAGTATTTATGAAAGACAATCATCAATAACAAAAAAAAAAGAAAACAGAACTGAAACGCGAAATTGTAGTATAATTTCACAGAAAAATATAACGACTTCAAACAATGTAACAATTTAATTAAAGATGTTGATTAATAGAAAATGTGGAGATAATTTGAGGAAACTGCATAATGAACAAGAAAAAATATAATGTAGTACAGAACCCAGAAAGGCTAAAAAAAGCATCTACGATAATGTTTGGGTTAGTCCTCAAAGTTTTCTTTTGCAAGTGTTTTCTATTGGCTTTAATCATTACTCTGAGCCCCACTAATTATATCCACTGAGATCAGACTTGTCCCACTGATCTTCTGCCCAAAACCTTGAGTGTAGTTTAAACCTCAATATACATTCTTCTTCTTTAGTTCAGTTTAGGAGTTTAAGATCGGTTTTACAAAAATTGTTCTATTTAAATTGATGCTCACTTTAATTTAATAATATTTTTTATTTCCAAAACCAGTTCATATACGTTTCTTTCGGCAAAAGAATCTCTGATGACAACATTAAACAATTCAATAAAATTCATGCCACAGTAAATATGCCATCAGACCATAAAGGAAAAGGCACGTTCATCAACATGAGTACTTTTTGGTATTGTTTTTTTGGCAATTTTGGTATTTTATGGCTTTTCTTGGTTCAATATTTTCTGCACCGACATTATAATTGGATCCTTTCTATAACGTGATCTGAAAGCATATCTACGTCTTAAAAAAATTTGACTGAGTGGTTTATTTATCCCTGAATTGTCCCCTTCGCAAAAAAAAGAGTACCAAGGGGGCTTAGATGCGCTAGGCTTAACAAAGTAGAAATCCCCTTCTCAAAAGAGATCAAATATCTAGAAGTCATCTTTGACCAAAAACATTACCTGGGATCTAGAAAAAAGTCGTCCAGAAGGCAAAAATTGCCCTGGGAGATGGAAGAGGCTCTGCGGAAAAAGCGGGGGGACTAATCCAAAGATGCTATGGCTGTACAAAATGGTAATTAGGCCAATGATAACCTTCGCCTCGGTTGCCTGGGGTTACGCAGACCGTAACAATCAGACTGTTGTTCTCGTGTATTTACATAGACAGGAACAATATGTTCGGCTTCATATTATTCTCCCATAAAGTGATGCTGGACATCAATATGTTTTGTCCTATTGTGAAATTCTGGGTTTCGTATTAGTTTTATGGAGCTCTGGTTTTATCAACATTCAAAATTGCTGGTTTGATGACTTCTTCGTGAATGTCGAATCACAATTGCAACCAGATCCTTTTTTGATGACTTGTGAAGCAGCAATGTATTCAGCCTCAGTTGTTGACAGTGTAACTGTTGGCTGTCTCTTGTTCGACCATGTCATGGGTCCATTGCATAACTTCTACACATAACCACTTGTTGAACGTCTTGTTTGAGTATCACTAGCATAGTCAGAGTCAGTAAAACTAAGTTTGTATGCTGATCCTCTGGCATGCTCACTGGGTTGGCATCTTCCATTGCAGATCGTCTTATTATATCTTTTATATAGCTTGACTGCTTTAAGGACATCTTGACTTGTTTTAAGTCCCGTTTTATTTCAATATCTACCAACAAAGTAATTTTCTTCTTGTCTTGTGCACTTTTTACCTCAAAACAATAATTATGTAAATCATCTAAAACTGCATCAATCGCTGATGTTTGAGATGAGAATATCAAATCATCATCTACGTGTATCATAAGCAGGACTTTTATATCTTTGACGTACCCTGTGTAGACACATTTGTCTGCTGTCGAAGCTTCAAAACCAAAGTTTAGTAGAAAAGTTCTGAATTTCTTATTCCAACATCTTGAACTTTGTTTCAAGCCATGCAAAGACTTTTGGCTTGCAAACAGAACCTTCTTTCCAGTCCAATCTGGGTGGTGGTTTCATGTTTCATGTATATATTAGCTCCTTTTTTCTGCACACTGTCTTATATCTTAGATAACTTTTAGTTCAAACGTACACATTAGATGGACGAAGAATTATCTGACTTTAAATAAACATAATCTCAGGTAAGAAATTGAACTAAGGATGGAATCCGGCATTCTTGGCGTAGGCAAGGGGGGAGGTAATTTCGACATCAACTGACATAAACTTACCTAAGATGTTAGAAAAAACGGTCCTTTATTTCATTTCAGAACAGCTTAGGGGCCGGTTTCTCAATAGCGAGTCACCTCCGGGTTAAGCATAACTCCAGGGTAAACATAACAACTGGACACGTGTACCCTGGAGCTAAAATTAACCCGAAGGTGACTCGCTATCGAGAAACCGGCCCTAGGTCAGCTAAGATAGGTGTTAGAAAAAAAGCAGCTATTTTTTTCGAGTTTGCCATGTAAGAAGGCAGTTTTTATGTTGAACTGCCTAAATTCATAATCTTTCATATTTGCAATGGCAAGCAACACACCTATTGAATCTCTCTTCTTGTGTATATTTTTCAGCACATAGTCTTGGCTTGTATCTTGAGATTTGGCCGTCTTGATTTCTTTTAACTTGAAAAACCCACCTCAGCTCTATAGGTTTCTTATTTTCTGGAATTTTTCCCATTATCCATGTTATTCTTACACAAAGCGTATGATACTCTTCATCAATCGCCTCTTTCCATTTGTCATTTTCTTTGCTTTTTATAGCATCATCATAAAAGTCTGGAATCTCAATTTCTACAAAGTTCAAGTGAAGTCTGGCAGGCATTCGAACATTTCTCTGTGGTCTGAGATCTGGCATTTCACCGTTTCGTCCAACATGCTCATAATTTTCTTCCCGCACGAATTCTTGTCTCGCTTCTTGTTCAACCTAATTCCCAACTTCTACTTCCACAACTGTGCTTCCACTTCGCCAAAATCAGTGATGTTATCATTATCAAGTTCTATTTTTACTGTGTTTGGCTTCAAACCACTTTGCCTTTTTTTATCAAGCACCACATTTCTTGATATAATAAGTTTTCTTGTTATGGGATTAAAAAGTCTATAGTTCGTAGAATTTTCATTATATACAATAAACATGAGCTTTTCGCTTTTTGTGTCCAGTTTTCTACGCTTTTCATCTGGCACATGCTCGTATATGCATCACAACCAAACACTTTCAAATGGTCGAGTGTTTGTCCATATACCACATTTCGTATGTCATTTCACCTGGGGCTTGCGAAGTAAGCACTCTTTCAAGTATGTAAATAGTAGTATTAACTGCCTCTGCTCACAAGTATTTTGGAGCACCTGCTGGTGTAACATTGACCGTGAACTTTCAACAACTATCCGATTATCTCTCTCCACGCGACCGTTTTTTTGAGGGGTATACGACGCGGTTACCTCACGTTCTATACCTTCTTTGCTAAAGTAACATTTGAAGTCATTGTTAAGGTACTCAGTATGCAAAACTTTTATCGAATGTCCAAATTTTGTTTTAATTTTTGCATTTGGACGCTATTAAAGCGCTCAAAGCGTCTGATGTGAGCCTAATAAAGTATGCTACAAGATAACCAGTCTTTTCATCTTCAAAAGTTACAAAGTATCTCATTCCTTATACCGAAGGAGCCGCACACATCACTGTAAATTCTCTCACCGATCTCTAGTTTCACATGTTCTTGATTCTTCTTGAAGAGCAGTTCATGCTGCTTATCCATCAAGCAAGACTCGCAGAAAAAGTTCTCAACATCACTGAACTTTACACCTGCACCCAAGTCCTTCTTGATCATTCCCTTGAGATATTTCACATTAACATGGCCACAGCGTTCATGCCACAATTCCAAATTGTCAGAAACTGTTAAATTTGCAGTGCAGATTATGGTTCTGAATAGCATTTCATAGGTATTGCTTCCGAGGTTCGAACCTTCAAAAATCTTTACCTCTTTTTCGAATTTAACAACTTTCATTTTCCTATCTGTAAGCACACCCTAAGAAAGCAAATTCTTTCGAAACTGTGAAGTCTAGCCTATATGTCATATAAGCAGAGGCACCACTGTCCAAGATCCATGTTTCATTCCCAAAAATAGCACTGTTTGCTTCAAGTTCAACAATGAATGCTGTCTCGTTTTTGTCATTTCTGGGAATTTCTCGTTTTCTGGGGTTTTCATCTTGCTTTTTTTCTCTTTAATTTGCAGTATTTTGAGATATGGCCTCTTTTTCTACAAATATACATAGGGGACCTCTCGGTTTCGCATTTTCTTGCTTCTTCTTATTAAAGAGCATTGCTGCAAAAACTTGTTCGGTTTCCTTATAATTCTGGAGGTTATTCTCTTCATCCAAAAGTCGAGCCTTTAAATTATCAATTGTTTGTTTGGTGGGATCTAATGACAACCACAACCATACTTGCCTTACATACCTATACTTAATAGGTAAGGTAAATACTCAATTTTTTCGTCATAATTGTCATATTACTTATGTCGTCACCTGCATCTTTTATTTGTTTCGCAAGATTCTGAATCTTCGAGACATGCTGAGCTATAGTATATCATTTGTAGCCATCCTATATTGATAAATATACTCGTGAAGTAGGTATTATCTTTTTTCTATTTTGGTGTCATATCGAAGTCTTTTCGACACTAAAAGTAGTTTCGAAAAGAAGCTCTTTGTGACACTCCTTTTTTACTTATCGGAGGTTGGTAACACTGGCTGACTGATGGCCATCGAACTGTCATTCGCGATAAAAAAAATAGAAGATTTCTATATTTGGCATGTAGTGTTGCCAACCTAAACATATGAAATCAGGAAATATGAGAATAAAATTTCCAAGAAAAGTTTTTTTTTTAATTAAACAATACCAAAATAGAAAAAATAGTATAAAATATTCGTTTCATAAGACATTTTTTCTATTTTGGTGTCATATCGAAGTCTTTTCGACACTAAAAGTAGTTTCGAAAAGAAGCTCTTTGTGACACTCCTTTTTTACTTATCGGAGGTTGGTGACACTGACTGACTGATGGCCATCAAACTGTCATTCGCTATTTTATAATAGAAGATTTCTATATTTGGCATGTAGTGTTACCAACCTAAACTATGAAATCAGGAAATATGAGAATAAAATTTCCAAGAAAAATTGTTTTTTTTTACTAAACAATACCAAAATAGAAAAAATAGTATAAAATATTCGTTTCATAAGACATTTTATCGCACTCGCCCTTTAGAAAACTCGCCTCCGGCTCGTTTTCTAATATAGTGCTCGTGCGATAAAATGACGTCTTATGAAACTTGTATTTTAATGTACTATTATCGCACTCGCCCTTTAGAAAACTCGCCTCCGGCTCGTTTTCTAATATAGGGCTCGTGCGATAAAATGACGTCTTCTGAAACTTGTATTTTAATGTACTATTTTGACTGTGACTTCAGTTCAAAGATTATAGGAAATGTCAACTTCTAAGCGAGATACAAAAAATAGAACAACTAGGCGCAAAATTCATGAAATCTTGATTGGTGCAAAAAAACCATTTTGGTATCATTGACCAAAGTTCGATTTTTTTAATAGGACTCCATAATCTCTTGCTGATTTCATCGATAGGTTTATCAACAATTTTCGAGAAAAAAAATGTTACATACATACCTACTTATCTGTTTTTGTCATAAGAAACAATCTGTAAGAAAGAGACCTATCTTATTGTTTCTTATGACATAAACAGATATAATTTTTTTTTCTGGAAAACTAGAGATAAAATCCTATTGAACTTATCATTGAAATCAGCAAAAACAGAGCTATCCAAACTTATCATCACCAATGTCACTCAAATATAGTTATTAACGTTATAAGGCCGATAAATAGCAGATAACGCCCGGGCTGAAGTATTTGTTATCATAATAAGGCTGTTATTTGCAGTGGCCGTGTTTTGTTCTACATTTTTCGTCATACCGCAACTACTAGTTATTGGGCCACCCTGTATACTGGAAAATAATTTAGGAATGTAGTACTCATGTTTATCTACAAATTTTGTATTTAGTTTTTTCTCCGATCTCCGTTAGTATAGAAGATATGGACCACCGCGCGCTTAGTAACTCACCCTGTATAATTATACACAGTCTTGTATTTACTTATTAGGTTGATTTGTGCACAGACAAAACCCATGCAAAAGGTTTTCATGCGGGTTTTGGGGTTGTAATAGATAGAAATTGTCAATTTCTGAGGGGGGTGAAATATAATTTTACACCACTCCATTGTTGATTTAGATTAAAACTCGAATGTAAAATAGCCACTGGATACTGATGCAAGACGTCCTGTGGGGGGATAACGGGCTGCAAGACGGAGCAGGTCAATGCGTTGTCTTATGAGAAAGTGAGAAATCCCCCCACTCCCATCTCTTTCCCTGCGCAAGTGTGTTACAGCACCATGTTATCTAACTGATGCAATGCAAGACGGTGTAGAATGATTTAATGAAATAGGCGTCGTATCCCGTACTAAGCATTTCATCTGAAATTTCCATTGCCTAAAGTTGGTTTCATCAAACTTATTGACACTGGAAACGTCAACTTTATCAGTCATAGGTATTGTCTCAACTGGGAACTCACAATAAACGACAAACGGTTTCGCAGTTTTCGTGTTGCAGGGATACCCTAGTAAAGCGACCCTTTCAGTTTTTCACAAAAGTGTTCCAAGAGATAAACCTAAAACGTTTTACACGCTTTTTATTCGACCCACACGCACACGACGTACACTTTCCGGGCAAGCGCGACTGGGCCCATAACCTGTTATGAACTGATTATGAAATAAAATGCCCCTTTAAGTAAACTTGGGTCGCTCTTACTTGTGGAAACATGAGAAACAGCAACTAATATAATTGGCGTTAATGGCGTTATATGGCAACTGTCTACTGACAAAAAAAAACGAGTAAAAATCAGAACCAACGTGCCAAAACAAAAGTGTACAGCAGACGATATTTAGATATTAAACATTAAAAAAAACTTAATAACAACAAGTAAAGGCACTAGGTTACAGACTCAAACGCGGCCAAGGTCCGATTATAAAACACCAAAGGACTGAAGGACCATGAGTTAGGCCGTGTTTATGTTGGAGCTGTGATAAGCAATAAAAGCAACGATACTAATGATACTTTACATTAGTATCGTTGGTTTTATCGTGTATCACTGCTCCAACATAAACACGACCTTAGAAGATAGAGGAGTATCAAGAAGTCGCCCCCTTGTATGAGATGCCTTCAGATAAAACAACTCCTCTTTTCATCTTCAGCAGGCATTTTCGGGACACCATACCGGATAGGAAAGACTGGAAGGAAGGCTCTCCAGATAATGAAGATATCCATAAGCCTCGGATACTACGTCACGGTGTTTCAAGCAGAAATCGCTGCATTAATGGTACTGTCTCAAAGTGGAAAAAGAAGCAAAGAGTAAAAATATTATCATTTACTCAGACAGGCTGACGACTTAGCTAAAGGAGACTCAGCCACCGAGATGATAGGCCCAGAGTCATTCTGCGGAATCTCATCGTGCCTCTTCAAAACATCTATCTAGAACTGGATAGACAGAAAATTCCAGAGCTGGTGGCTGCAAACACCAGAATAACGACAGGCAAAGCAGTTCATTAAATCCTGCTCACCCAAGTTCACATCAAACCTACTTAACCACAGTCGTAAGGTTGTAAAAATAATGGTAGGTCAATTAACAGGGCATTGCAGACTCAATAAGCAACTGGAAAGAATGAGCCTGCCCTATGCAGGTTCTGCCAGAAAGCGGAAGAAACTGCCGTACATGTGTGGTGCCGTTGCGAAGCGTTATGCAGGCTCAGGTTCACAAAACTTGGTGAGGAGAAGCCCAAACCGGCAAGCTATATGGAATGGCCAGTTTCACGGCTATATGGGAGTCATTAGAAGGACGGGTCTGGACAACGCACTCTAAGGTCAGACAGGAGACAATAATCTGACAAGTTTTGCAGTGCTGGATGACGCTTCTGCGCATCTCCGGTCAATTAATCTAATCTAATCTAATCTAGGTATCACTACTAAAAGCTTTCTTCAGACTAAGAAATTTTCACAATTAAAAAAAAATTGTCAAAGTACTAGTACACTTTTTAGGGTGCATTTTTACAATAGGAATAATCGAAGAAAGCCATTTTTAAAATGAAAAAATATTGAAAGGAAATTATTTAGAAATTTTTTCAAACAATAATACAACAAAACAAAGAAAATAATGTTTAACAATTTGAGACTAAATTCAGCCAATCTCAATTATTTCTTTTATTTCAGAAGCCCAAGTCCAACAGTACGGCGAAGTCAACCAACTGGGTGGTGTATTCGTCAATGGAAGACCCTTACCAAACGCAGTAAGATTACGAATCGTTGAACTATCCCAAGTTGGAATTCGTCCCTGTGATATTTCCAGACAACTTCGGGTTTCGCATGGATGCGTATCCAAAATTCTAGCAAGGTAATACAATTAAGTCTTTAGTTTAAAACTAGTCTCAAGTATATTCACACTTGTTTCTTATTTTTTCAGATATCACGAAACTGGTTCCATATTGCCAGGCGCCATCGGCGGTTCCAAACCAAGAGTAACCACACCAAAAGTAGTAGCCTACATAAAAAACCTCAAGCAAAAAGACCCGGGAATTTTCGCCTGGGAAATTCGAGATCGTCTCTTATCCGACGGCATTTGCGACAAATACAACGTTCCTTCAGTTAGTTCGATAAGTAGAATTTTAAGAAACAAAATCGGATCTCTGGTGCATAGTAATCCGCACGCCCACTCCATCTACAACATCTATCCGAGTTATCCTTATCCGCAACCGAAATCGCCTAGCAGCCATCATCAGAGATCCAGCGCTCCTTGTTGGCCCAGTTCGCATTCGGTGCAAGATATTCTAGCGGGAGTTCACGCTGCGGCTTTCAGATCTCAACACGGTGGTAATCCAACAGCTTTGCCACCTGGACCGTCACCTCCTGTTGCTGATCCAGCACAGAATTATAATTATTACATGTGGGGGAACAGTGCTATGCATATGGTTAATTCGGGAATGGCACCACATCCTTTGGGACATCATTTGTGAGATTTAGGAGTTAGATTTTTGTATTTGTCTGTTGTATTTTGTGTCGTATTTGTTCATTTTTGTGTTGACTTCGCCTTAAAGGTATAGGCAATAAAGTATACGATGTATAGTCTTTATAAAGTCAGAAGTCAGTTGAAACAAGGTGAAGATAAATAACGACTGGTGACTGACTGGTGATTGAATATTTCAATGAGAAATGCACTGCCACTAGTCACCAACAGTTGCAATTTATTTATACCTTGTTTTAACTGACTTTAAAAATACTATACCAAAACCTTAACAACAACATATTTAAAAAAAAAAAAATAGTTCTGAATTAGTTACCTACACACATTTTACGAGTAATTGAAGTTACAGGTGCTAATACTTATATATTCTTCAATCAAATAAATACTCTATACATAGGTTAATATAATTAGAAATAATCAAAATGCTTATGACAAGATGTGCCTTTTGTATTACATATACATATATTGTAGCGCTTTATTTTTTAAATGTCTTTTTTGTATATAATATTAAATTATTAAAATTATTTATTTGTTAATTTGTTGTGGCTTCTTTAATTCATAACTCCTGCTACCTACTCCTTGTGAATTGTGACTATGGCACGTACTAACATAATAATTGAATAGATATTCACGTATAGGTAGGTAATTAGATGGACCCAGGATTGTAATTTCTCAAAGATGAGTGTGCTGAATTATTATGCAAAACACATGGAAATTAATTTTTTAATTAGACTATTACGCAGGGGCAAACTTGACTCACCCACTGAAGAACCTTTCGTGCGTTAAACTGTTGATTATTCTCAGTTTATACTTTTTAATTACCAGACAAGAAACCTGCAAAAATAAAATAAAAGAAGATTTGCGTTTCGTTGAAATATAACGAAACATGAGATTTTAAAATTGTAACAGGAAACATGCAAAATGTTTTCTGGGCCCTAATGAGCGCCGCGAATTCGAGTTGTGTGATATCCCAGCTTGACTTCTTAGAATTCCGATATGAAAACCCTTTTTGCATTAAAGAAAAACAAAATTATTATTTTTAGTTTGGTCGATATGTTTTACGATTTTACACGGGATGCGAACCATGTAACCAGCCGTGTCCCGAAAGTCGCCCCGATCCCGCCCACTTCCTTTTTGTCCATCATTTGCGGCATTCGAAAGGTTATCCCGGTTAATTAGCTACATCTTTGCTTTTTGGAGCTCGTAACTCATATTCGGCCTGGTCCTGTCAAGAATTATTTTTAATGTACAAATTGGATTTGGGGAGCTGGAGACCAGAAGCTTTTACTTCATTTCCAAAACTCGTATCCATACAGGGTGTTACAAATTCATTAGTAGGTATCTCGATAACCATAAGGTATACAGGGTCGGAAACTAAAGTGGCCGTTTTCCTAAATCTTGTAGGAGATGATGGGCTCGAGTTGTTTAATAGTTTTACATTTACTTAGCGGGAACTAGAACTAGAATCGCTAGACAATATAAAGAAAAAATTTCAGGAATACTACCTCAAGAAAATGTGATTTTCGAACGGTTTAAATTCAACAGTATTGGCCAAAAAGATGGTCAAACAAACAAATATTAAATGGTAAATGCCCGGCATATGGGAAAACATGTGCAGCTTGCCAAGGAGAAAACCATTTTGCAGTAATGTGTCCTGGTGAAGGTTCTAGTAAGCCACACAAAAAATCTAGCGAAAGACAGTCACGGAGGAAGCCTGTACACGAACTGGAGAAAGAGCACACAACAGAAGGAGGTAGTGACAGCTTTAGTGAAAGTGAGTCTTTCTACGTGGACTCACTGTGTCGAGTCAGTTCTATGAAGTCTCGAAAAATTGATAAGGGGATCAGTGAGTGCGACAGCAGAGACAATCAAACTGAGATAAAGAATGACTGGAGACAAGTTGTGCACATCGAGAACAAAAATCAGGTAGAATTTAAGCTTGACACTGGGGCTGAGGTAAGTGTTTTGCCTCTACATGTTCTCAAAAGGCGGTTACACACGGTCGTTGGTGGCTTGATATACATATACGTACATACATCAACGTGCAAACAATAACGTGCATGGCGTCTTTGTACAGACACTCGCACAAAACTATCAAAACTGCAGTCTTGCTACAGTGTTCGGGGTGTGCATACAAAATTTCTAGCGATTCCAGAATTCACTTGAGCGTCATTCTACCGTTTGCACATTCAAAAACGTAACAGTATTTTGCATACACATTGATGTTTTTGTTTGCGCGTTCATGTATGTGCATACATGTTTTCAGACATCCACGTCCGTGTGTAACCGCCTAAAGAGTTAAAAGTTAGTTCTCTTTTAAAACCAACCAAAGTGACCCTTGTGTCATATGGTTGTAGTGGTTTCAGGATAAAACCTAGGGGTGAAGTTAGTTTGTCTTGCGAAGTCAACAACCATAAAGAAACTCTTGAGTTTTAGCTAGTATTAGTCCAGGTCTCAATGTCAATTTCAAGTCTCTCGAAGATGTTAAGAAAATGTATGCTAAGTTTTTTGATGGTTTAGGCCAGTTTCCAACTGAGCATCATATTTCTTTGGAAAAAGATGCCGTTCCACATATTCAGCTTCCCAGGAGAGTTCCTAGAGCATTGCATGATAGATTGAAATTGAAACTAGAGCAACTTGAAGTTCAAGGTGTAATTAAAAAACTTGACGAACCAACTGAGTGGCTGAATCCTTTAGTCATAGTGGAAAAAAGTAATGGAGACTTGAAGTTGTGCCTAGACCCCAAGTATTTGAATAAGGCAATTCAGCGTGAACATTTTTTAATTCCGACTTCTGAGGAAATTGCTGTCAAATTATGTAATAAAGAATATTTTTCGGTGCTTGATATGAAAGACGGTTATTTCCAGATCAAAATTGACAATCATAGTTCAAAGTACACAGATTTTGGCACACCATTTGGGCGATTTGAATTTTTGCGTTTACCTTTTGGCATTTGTTCTGCCGCGGAAGTCTATCAAAGGAAAATTAATGAAATATTTCGGGACTTGGACGGCGTAGGGCTCTATTTTGATGACCTTATAGTTACAGGTGGAAATCAGTTCGAACATGATCATAATTTACATTTAGTACTTAAATCGGCTCTAAAGTATAATATTAAATTTAATTCTTCGAAAATCCAGTTTTGATAGATTCTTTGAAAGTGAATGCACCAAATATAAGTTTGTGAATATCAATAAAAACACCACTACACTTTGAACAACGTTTTATTGATTAATATAAGAAAACTAAACTCAGCTTGACATTAATAAATTGATTAATTAATTATAGCCACTTTACAGCCAAAACGTGGATTGAAAATCAACAACAGAAAACAACAATCATTGGCATACCTTACAACATAACCACACATTATTATACAGGGTGTCAATTTGAAAACTTCCCACCCCTATTATCTCGGAGTAGAAAAATTTTCGAGAAAATCCCTGAAACACGTCAACTATAATTTGAAGGGGGATGAGTTTTTATGCAAAATTCACCTTCCATCTTTCAACCCCCCAGAGCCACCCCCTAGAAAATTTTAAATGGGAAGGGGGGTCAAGTGATACATCATTTTGGAGGGTTTTCAATTCCATACATTTTGGTACAAAATTTTAATCCTTAAGTTCAACTGTTTTGGAAATATTGACAGTTGAAAAGTGACTTTCTTGTAACTTTGACAGGCTGTAAAACCTAAACGGATAATTTTAGAGGAAAACCGATCTTACATTCTTGTCTTAGATTTTCATAAACTATCATTTGACAACAACTTCGAATTTAATCCACGATCAAAAATTCCGGTTGAAAATTTAATCTCCGGTTAAATTCAAAAATGGTGCCAAATGATAGCTTATGAAAATCTAAGAAAAGAATGTAAGATCGGTTTTCCTCTAAAATTAACCGTTTAGGTTTTACAGCCTGTCAAAGTTGCAAAAAAAGTCAATTTTCAACTGTCAATATTTTCAAAACAGTTGAACTTAGGGACTGAAATTTAGTACCAAAATGTATGGAATTAAAAACCCTGCATAATGACGTATCACTTGAACCCCCTTCCTATTTAAAATTTTCTAGGGGGTGGCTCTGGGGGCTTGGGGGTTGAAAAAGGGAAGGTGAATTTTGCATAAAAATTCATCCCCTTTCAAATTATAGTTGACGTGTTTCAGAGATTTTTTCGAAAATTTTTCCACTCCGAGATAATAGGGGTGGGAAGTTTTCAAATTGACACTCTGTATTATTGACACCAGGACAGGACCGAACTTAACTCAGAGTACTCTATACTCTATAGAAACATGTCTTTTGATTGTAAATCCAACAAGTTTAATATCGCTTTGAATTTACTGAGTTTTTGTTTTTATATTTGAACGCGCTCGTAGAAAAAATAATGTTCCTAACTCATGCGGAAAGTGTCTTTCCCGCACGCGACTGCCGTTGACCCGAACGACGCGAAGTATCACATTTCGCACTTGTTAGGAAAATAACTATTGTTTGTGGTTGCATTGCAGTTTGGTTGTGTATTTTTCCCAGTTCATATTTATTGGGTTTCTATACGAAGTAGTTCATTCCTGCACTCCTTTTACGTCAAACATTATGATTCTGTGATCAGAGTCATTAGCGACTCTCCAATTCCTTGATCATTTGGTCAATATTTGGACTGTTTGTACGTTGGTTTGTATGTTGGTGTATTCCCTACATTAAGTATATTTAAGATAAATTCTAACAGTTGCTCACCTCTTAGGTTTGTGTCGGTACCTCACCAGATGATGTTATGGGCGTTGACGTCAAACCCAATTAGGAGCGGTAGTTTGCTGCTGTTGCAGTACTCAACTAGTCTCAGTGAAAGTGGCCTATTCTAAAAGACATAAATGATTAATGTTTTCTTTCAGGAGAATGCATACTCTAGGGTCGTTACACCGACTGTCCCAGATTACGTTTGCCCCTTTACTCGGTAGACCTTTGATCTGCCCTTCATATATCCATGGTTCATCTCATTGTTCCTTTTGTCCACACCGTGGAATTTATTGGCGACTCTCCCAATATGAGCAATTTTTTTTATTAATTTTAATAACAAAACGTGTAATAAATAACACGGTTTTCAGATATCAACGAGCAGACTGGCTTCCTGGCCGCGAAATATGAATTCGAGTGGGAATAAATTTGTGTCTGCTTGCACCCACTTTTTGCTTCCGTTTCCTGATTTTCTTTTCTTTTGATTGGAGCAATAAGCTCATCTACTTTGGTTTCGGTAGTTTAGTGTAGAAGCACTCCATCAGTGTTTAGGTATTTAGGTATTATTGATTTTCCTTTCTTCTTCAGACTTCTTCATATCTTAGAAAGTCTATATTTTACAATACATATATAGTTTTTAGAAACATAGAAACAAAGTTAAGGAGCTTTTGGTATTTGAAGCGGTATTTTATGAAATTTAGGACTCCTCCTTCGAGGAAGGTAAATTGATAATATCGAACATGTGGCAAGAAAGGTGGGTTCAGGTTCAGGAAAGGGGCAAACCAGGGCTGAGGAAGGAAAACATCATAATTTG